GCTCAAGCGAGTCTCCTGCCTCTGCCTCCCAAGTAGCTGGGACTACAGGCGCCCGCCGCAACGCCCGGCCATTTTTTGGTTGCAGCCATCATTGTTGTTTTGGCAGGTCCTGGCTGGAGATAAGAACCCGCCACCCTAGGCGTACATGGCTGGCGCCTTAGCCGGTTGAGCTATAGGCGCCGAGCCTCTCTTTTTATTTTTATTGTGAAAGCTCTGAGGACACCTATCAAGTACAGCAATTATTCAACTTTTATTCATTTATATTCCAGAAGGAGGTAAAGAAAGGCAGAAGACGGTTTTCCTTTTCTGCCTTCTTAGAAAACACACTTTTCTTAGCGTTAAATGCTTGTATCTTTTCCTAAACAATGGCTATAGCAGACACGGCAGTTCCTCTCTTGTACCTTGTTATGAGAGCCCTGATTTTGTTCAGGTGGGTTTATTCTTTCCCAGGAGAGAGTATTTCTATTCTTAGCTCTGGGGTAAATCCTGATGCTAAGACAAACACAGTGGTACCATTTCTGTTGCAAGATCCAGTGCTGGCCGATGAGACAAGAGGCCAATGAGACAAATATATTGCAGAGGAATTCTGGAAAAAGATTCTTAAAACACAAAGATGACACGAGCATTTTCTGAACTGTTATCTGGACATCAGCCTGAGGAGGAATTGCAAAGAAGTAGAGCAGGAGTCCTAATTATGGGGCTACACCATGCTAGGGGCTTCTTGTCACACAAGACAAAAAACCTTAAGTGTTCAACCTGGCTGAGAGAAGAGCTTCTTTTCCTTTCAGCCTAAAGTATCTGAACTGATACAACATTTCAGAATCCTCCTCATAAGCACCCTCTAGGTAGAAATGTATGGTCTTGGCCTGAGAAGTTCCCAAAGAAAACAATGGGGGTTTAAATAAGATGTCTTTATAAGCTGCTTGCGTCGCTCTGCACTTGGTATCTATCCTTACAAGGCCTGGGCTGAGTCTGACTACTTCTCAGGCATAAGGAATAAGGCAAGTGTAGAGAGTACATAGTGGGTACAATTTTTCATCCTAGACAAAAGGCCACTGCCACAAGGTACAAAATGTGCCACATAACATATAGGCACTCTGGTTCGTTTTTCTTCTCTTTTCTTTTGACAGTGAAAACTCTGTCATAGTGCTTTTGTTTATTCCTCCTTTCCATCTCATTTCTGCTCTACTGTGGTGTGTGTGTAGAGGATGTGCAGACAAGGAGGAAGCCTCAGTTACAGAACATGGGAGAGATGCAACTGGATAAAATCAAGTCTCTGACTTGCTGTTTCAGCAGGGTATGTTAAAGTGCTTTTCTTTGATTATGACTGCTGAACTGAAAAAGATAGTTAACACCTTCATTATATAATTCAACATTCCAGTTTTCATTAACCAATTGAATTAAAGGGAAAAAGACAATATCATTCATTAAACAGCAAACAAAGATGGAGAAAAGAAATTTGAGATTCTACTTGGGACCATTATTTTTTGAAAAATGTCTAAATTTCTAATTCTCCATTTCACTAATGTCCCTTCTTCACAGATGCTGAGCTCTGCTGTGCCCTGCCTTTCTCCCACTATTAATGAAAACCAAAGGACACTTTGGTAGCATAGGTATTTTACTAGGTAGAGGACAGGCAGTGAGAATATACAGTGAAGGCTCACTCGGCTATCTTAGATGAAAAAGTGAAAAAGGCTGTCCCCAAACTGACACTGATAATTTCAGTAAAGTAGTGCCAGGAGGGTGATCAGGGTTAAAGTTACATCATTCTTCCTGTAATTTCAGCTCTGTTAAACAACAACTTTAAGTCAATGGGTCTTTCATAGTCTTGTCTATGTGGAGAACAGCTGTTCAACTTTTACTAGACAGCTGAAGCCACGGTATCTGAGAAAGTGGCAGAGCCTGCTAATAGCTGAAAGCAGCTGCCAGCAGTTCATCATTTCCACACTGGAATGCTTCTTAGCAAAGTCACAAGACTAATACACAAAACACAGGTGACAGTGAGGGCCCTGACATCTAAGAGCCCCAATTTTCAGAAACCCTGAGCAATTCAAAAAAGCTTAATAACGAAAAACAAACCCACATGGACTTAACTGATGGCTTGATCAGGAAAACAGAATTATTTCTGAGGTCAACTGTTGTTGGAAAAATATGGCAATTTTACCCAGTTGCTAATGTTTTTTCCTCAAATCAATATAATTTCTCCTCAACAAAGTTTTTCTCCAAACAATGCTCAGAAAAATATAATTCAAGTTTTAAAATTACAGCTTGACAGATATTAAAATTTACATGTAATTTTATTTATTCCTAATAAATCAAAAAATTCTCAGTTACTAAAACAATTGTTTCTCAGCAAATTCATGCCTTAGGGCAGTATGTAGAATTTATCTGAACTAATGTGGAAAAGATGAAGTAAATCTGAGCCACTAATAATATTCATCCCATTCATGCAAAGTTCTTTTCCTTAGCAGAAAAGCTATATTACCTCTAGGAATTTTTACATATATGTGATACAGTAATAACTTAGTTGGTCTAAAAACAAAAACAAACCATCTAGTAGAAATAGTTATTCATCTTTAAGTCTTACACATGAGTCTTTTTGTTTGTTTGTTTTTTGAGACAAGAGTCTCACTCTGGTGTGGCTGGGCGTGGTGGCTCACCCCTGTAATCCTAGCACTCTGGGAGGCCTTGGCGGCTGGACTGCCTAAGCTCACAGGTTCGAGACCAACCTGAGCCAGAGCGAGACCTCATCTCTAAAAATAGCTGGGCGTTGTGGCAGGTACCTGTAGTTCCAGCTACTCAGGCAGCTGAGATAAGAGAATAGCTTGAGCTCAGGAGTTTGAGGTTGCTATGAGCTCTGATGCCATTGCACTCTACTGAGGGTGACAAAGTGAGACTCTGCCTCCAAAAAATAAATAAATAAATAGTCTCATTCTGTTGCCCTGGGTAGAGTGCCCTGGAGTTGTAACTCACAGCAACCTTAAACTTTTGGGCTCAAGAGTTCCTCTTGCCTCAGCCTTTTGAGTAACTAGGACTACAGGCACCCACCACGATGCCTGGCTAGTTTTTCTATTTTTAATAGAGACAGGGTCTCAGTCTTGCTCAGGCTGGTCTTGAATTCCTGAGCTCAAGTAGTCCACCTGACTTGGCCTCCCAGAGTAGTAGAATTATAAGCATGAGCTACTATGCCCAGCGAGTCTTATATTTGGTACATGGTAAACAAAGAAGAAAGAATAGGTAGGTAGTTTTTATTTATTTTATGTGCTCTTTTATAATTTTTTTTTCATTATTTTCTTTATATCTTTTTTTTTCTTGAGACAGAGTCACTTTGTTGTCCCAGGTAGGGTGCTGTGACAGCACAGTTCACAGCACCCTCAAACTCTTGGGCTTAAGTGATCCTCTTGCTTCAGGCTCCTGAGTAGCTGGGACTACAGGCGCCTATCACAACGCCCAGCTATTTTTAGAGTCTCACTCTTGCTCAGGCTGGTCTTGAATTCATGAGCTTGGGCAATCAGTCTCCCAGAGTGCTAGGATTATAGATGTGATGAGCCACCGGCTCAGCCCCTATTTACTTTGTATCTTACAGAAATTTTTGATTTTGCTCCTTCTATTTTGCTTTCATCTCAATTGCCTAGACTTATTTTTATTCTGTGATAATAACTGTTCTTGTAAATTATATCAAAATAAGGAAATTTTAAAACTCAAATTCAAAACTAGTTAAGTATTTCAGTAGTCTCCCAAGTGAACTCAAGAGGAAAGCTCTGTTTACATGCTTTCTTTTTTTTTCACTTATTTTTTATTTTTTGAGACAGAGTCTCACTACATCGCCCTCAGTAGAGTGCTGTGGCATCACACCTCACAGCAACCTCCAGCTCTTGGCCTTGATTCTCTTGCCTCAGCCTCCCAAGTAGCTGGAACTACAGGTGCCCAGCACAACGCTCAGCTATTTTTTTGGTTGTAGTTGTTGTTGTTTGGTAGGCCCTGGACTGGGGTTCGAATCCGCCAGCCTCAGTGTATGTGGCCAGCACCCTAGCCACTGAGCTATAGGTGCTGGGCCTTTTTTTCCCTTCGTTTTTGAGACAGTGTCTCCCAGGGAGGAGTGTAGTGGTGTCATCATGGCTCACAGCAACCTCAAACTCCTGGAATCAAGCAATCTTCTTGTCTCAGCCTCCCAAGTAGCTCCAGAGTACCTGGCTAATTTTTCAATTTTTAGTAGAGGCAGAGGTCTTGCTCTTGCTCTTGCTCTTGCTCAGGCTGGACTACAGGTAGGAGCCACCAAACCAAAACCACATGCTTTCTATTCTTTTTTGGAGACAGTCTCAAGCTGTCACCCTGGGTACAGTGCCATGGTGTCACAGCTCACAGCAACCTCAAACTCTTGGGCTCAAGCGATTCTCTTGCCTCAGCCTCCCAAGTAGCTGGAACCACAGGCGCCTGCCACACGCCCAGCTATTTTTTTTGTTGCAGTTGTCAACTGCTGTTTTAGCTGGCCTGGGCAGGGTTTGAACCTGCCTGCCTCAGTGTATGTGGCTGGCACCCTCCTCACTGATCCACAGGTGCCACCCTACATGCTTTTTCATAGTCAAAATCTAAATGATTTTTCATAAATTTTCATTAAATTTTACTGATAAATAAATGAGCTATTAACATATCTAAGTAGTCCCACATATTACAAAGTAGTTAGTAAAAGAGAAAAGAGAAGCCTACCTGTGAGAGGTGAAGGTGATCCAACTGGTGTTGATGGATTTGATGGAAAACTACTGCTGGTATGGTCAGGAGAATAAATCTAATCAGAAAACAAGAGAGATACACCCATCAATAAGACAACAGCAAAAAATATTTACACAGAATTATTTTCATCATCTGTAAACTGCCATTCCTAAGACTCAGAGTAAGAAATTTTCTTATCAATTTTAGGATTATTGCATTATATAAAAATCACAAAAGCCTCAGTTTTAAAACCAGGATTAGAAGGTATCTTAAATATTCTAATGAGAGGAATAAAATTATATTATTATAATTGAAAATAATTTGAAGTTTTTAATTGTTAGAACAGAAAAATGAGAACTGACTAAAAATTAAATAATCTTTCTGGAATATGCAATCTACATAAGTGGCATCCTCTAAAAATAATCACCTCACTATAGCACAGTGGTTAGGGTGCCAGCAGCACTGTGGTTAGGGTGCCAGCCACATACAGCAAGGTTGGCAGGTTTGAACCTGGCCTGGCAAGATAAACAACAATGACAACTCCAACAAAAAACAGCTGGGTGTTGTGGTGGGCGCCTGTAGTCCTAGCTACTGGGGGAAGCTGAGGCAAGAGAATCACTTTAGCCTAGGAGTTTGAGGTTGCTGTGAGCTGTGATGCCATGGCACTCTACTGAGGGCGACATACTGAGACTCTTATCTCCAAAAAAAAAAAAAATCACCTCAGAATACTGTTATCTTCTGGAATGGTCTTTCAAAACAGTTGGGAAAAAAGACAAAGAAAATAGTTTTTTACCACTTATCTTTCACTTAAAAAGTTAGTTTGACCAACCACATTTTTTTCAATTTTAGCTTTAGATGATTGTATGAATGTTGTAAAAAATTAAACTTACTCTCAAAGGATACTTTACCACTCTTTTAAAAAAGTGGGAAAAAACCTGATGTGCTCACAGTGCATCTTACAAGGGTACATGTGAAATTTACTAGGTGTAGAATGTAAATGTCTTAACACAATAACTAAGAAAATGTTGTGAAGGCTATGTTGACCAGTTTGATGGAAGCATTTCAGAATGTGTGTAAAACTAGCACATTGTACCCCATGATCACATTAATGTACACAGCTATGATTCAATAAAAAAAAAAAAAAGAAGTGTTTCTAAATTGACTTATGAACATCATTTCCCAATAGATCTACTTTAAAGAGGACAAAATATTAGGATACATAAATTTTGATATTCTGATATTCTGGCTAAAAGTTTTTTTTTTTGAGACAAAGTTTCACTATGTTGCCCTGGGTAGGGTGCATCAGAGCTCACAGCAACCTCAAACTCTTGGGCTTAAGAGATTCTCTTGCCTCAGCCTCCAGGTAGCTGGGACCCACAGGCACCTGCCACAATGCCCAGCTATTTTTTGTTGCAGTCGTCATTGTTGTTTAGCTGGTCTGGGCCAGGTTCAAACCCTCCAGCTTTGGTGTATATGGCTGGCGCCATAACCACTGTGCTATGGGCACCAAGCCTGGCTAAAAGTTTTGTTGCAATGTTTTTTATATACATTTCATATTGTCATAAATAGTGACAGAGATTCATCTCAGTTTATCTAATATTTAAAAATTCTCCCTAATCTAGGCTCCAAGGGCCTGCCCCCTAAGAGAGCTCTTCTGACAATCCTATTCTTAGAATAGGCATAATCATTTTTGCATCTCAACATTTAACTTAGGGCAGACAAATCAACTTATATGGATAAACTGTGGTCAAACATTTTAAAAAAAGGAAATGATTTCTGAGGGCAGATTCATGCAATAAAAATAACCCTGCTATGAACAAGCTCTCTAATGAATTTAAAGAGGCCTGAATTGTGACACATAGGGTCTCAGAGTCTCAGCACTGGTTTTTAAAGATAATAATGCAAGTCATCATTAACATACTTAGTGTTATTTCATTTTAAAAAATAAGATATTGAGTGGTGCTTGTGGCTCAGTGGGTAGGGTGCCGGCCCCATGTACTGAGGGTGGCAAGTTCAAACCTGGCCCTGGCCAAACTGCCAAGAAAAAAAAAAAAAAAAGCCAGGTGTTGTGGCTGGCGCTATAGTTCCAGCTACTTGGGAGGCTGAGGCAAGAGAATCGCCTAAGTCCAAGAGCTGGAGGTTGCTGTGAGTTGTGACATCACAGCACTCTACTGAGGGTGACAAAGTGAGACTCTGTCTCTACCAAAAAAGGCTCAGTGCCTGTGGCTCAAGCAGCTAAGGTGCCAGCCACATACACCAGAGCTGGGGGGGGTTCAAATCTGGTCCAAGCCTGCCAAACAATGACAACTACAACCAAAAAATAGCTGGCCGTTGTGGCGGGCGCCTGTAGTCCCAGCTACTCAGGAGGCTAAGGCAAGAGAATCGCCTAAGCCCAGGAATTGGAGTTTGCTGTGAGCTGTGATGCCACAGCATTCTACCCAAGGCAATAGCTTGAGGCTCTGTCTCAAAAAAAAAAAAAAGGATATCACAGGATCTGTGAAAATCAGCTAACATTTACATTTTGGTTCCCAGTAGCTTGCGTACACTGATTTATTTATTATAGTGTAAGTAAATTAGGGAAAGTCATCAAACTTTAACAAAATCCTGTTTCAGCACACACATACCCTTATCATTGTAAACCATTATTCCTTTTTTTTTTTTTTTTAAAGACATAGTCATATTTTGTTACCCTCAGTAGAGTGCCATGGCATTATAGCTCACAGCAACCTCAAACTCTTAGGCTCAAGAGATTCTCTTGCCTCAGCTTACTGAGTAGCTTGGATTACAAGCGCCTGACACAATGCCTGCCTATTTTTTTTAGAGAGGGAGTCTGGATCTGGCTCTGGTTCAGGCTGGTCTCAAAGTGCTAACCTCAGGCAATCCATCGGCCTCGGCCTCCCAGAGGTCTGGAATTATAGATTCGAGCCACCACATCTGGCTACACCACTATTTCTTATGTTCAAGATTCAAATAGTTCTATCTTTACAAGAAGCTGATGCTTATTTTTATGAAACATGTCCTGGTTATAATATTGGTAAGGGAGGGAAGGGTCAGAAACATTGGTAGAGGGTAGATAGAAGAAAAGCTTCAGTTTTATGCAAAACTGCGGTTATTATAAACTAGCTCAACTTCTGGATTTTTTTTTTTTTTTTGAGACGGAGCCTCAAGCTGTCCCCCTGGGTGGTGTGCCGTGGCATTACAGCTCACAGCAAACTCCAACTCCTGGGCTCAAGCGAGTCTCCTGCCTCCGCCTCCCAAGTAGCTGGGACCACAGGCGCCCGCCACAACGCCCGGCTATTTTTTGGTTGCAGCCGTCATTGTTGTTTGGCGGGTCCGGGCTGGGGATTCGAACCCGCCACCTTAGGTGTATGTGGCTGGCGCCTTAGCCGGTTGAGCTATAGGCGCCGAGCCAACTTCTGGAATTTTAATCCTCATCTGTAAGGATTAACAGCATTGGAGGAAGAGCATTCTCTGTCATACATTCACACTTTTTTTTTTTCTTTTTCTAAGGCTTATGCAGGTAAAATATACATATACAATTACCCACCTGTCACTGTCATCTTGAGTGTACATATCAGTGGTATTAAATACAATTATACTCTTTCCCTCTTTTGTTCCCCCATCCTCTGCTTTTATTTTCTTCATAGTGCTTACATCATAGTCCTCATCATCTAAATTTGTTTGTTTATTACTTGTCTCTTACCCTTTCCCCTAATAAAATGTGAGTGCCAGAAGGACTTTGGCTTATTTATCACTGCTTCAGATTCCACAACAGTGTTGATAGATGGTGGGGGTTCAATACATAGCTGGAAGAATAAATGGTATCACCCTTGCTAGGAATTTTTATTTCAGTGATTGTTTTCAGTGGCTGCATTTATTTACCCAGGCTCCATATCTCTTTCACTCTTCCACTTCCCTTAAGGTAGGTGTCCCCAGAGTTCCAGTTCAGTTTGTTCCCCCCTATTCACCAGCACTTCATCTCTTGGTAAATACTATTCTTTGTCAAGCATCAATTATCACACCCTGGTGAATGACTCCTAAATAATCATCTCTGTCCTCACACTAGCTGCTGGACTTCTCTACCCTGACATAGTTCTTGTTTCATCTCAAGCTCAGTACATCCAAATCCAAACTTTGCATCATGGCCCCAGGCTTCCGATCTTTCCCATCTCAATTCTCCTGTCTCCTCTATTTTGGGGAGCAGCACCATTTACACAGTTACCAAGAACAGTCTCTTTTTCTCTTCTCTTCTGTCCCTCCATCATTCCCTCTCTAGACACCAAAAATTATTTATGTTTCTGTGTTAGGCACATGTCACACTCACTGCCATCACACCATTTAAAGCTATACTGAACTTATGACTGAATTATTATTTTTTTCTTGAAACAAGAGTCTCACTTTGTCACCCCTGGTAGAGTGCCATGATGTCATAGCTCATAGCAACCGCCTTATTTCAGACTCAAGTGATCCTCTCGCCTTAGTGTCCCGAGTTGTTGGAATTGTAGGTGCCTGCCACAAAACCTGGCTATTTTTTTAGACACAGGGTCTTGCCCTTGCTCAGGCTGGTCTTGAACCCCTGAGCTCAAGTGATCTGCCTGCCCTGGTCTTTCAGAGTGCTAGAATTACAGGTGTGAGCCACCATGTCTGGCTTATGACTGGATTATTGAAGTCTTTGTATTTCTAATAACTTTGTCTTTTATCCCAAACCACTGTCCAAGGATACAGTTTAGAACACACACAATGCTTCCTGTTGCCTGCTAAATAAAACACCTGTAATTCCAGCACTCTGGGAGGTCAAGGCAGGTGGATTGCTTGAACTCAGGAATTTGAGACCAGCCTGAGCAAGAGCAAGACTTTGTTTTGCCTCTAACTAAAAGAAGAAAAACTAGCTGGGTGTTGGGGCGGGGACCTGTAGCCCTATAGTCCCAGCTACTCAGGAAGCTGAGGTAGGAGGATCACTTGAGCCTAAGAGTTAAGGTTGCCATGATGACACCATGGCACTCAACCTCAAGGTGACAAGAGTGGGACTCTCAAACCAAAATACCCAAACAAACAAAATACCCAAAATGACACATCCTGGTCACAAGAACATCTTTCTATCCTATCATCTAGGCACAACCTACGTGTCCTTATTCAAATAAGATATTTCTTTTTCTTAACATAGCTTGTCCTCCTCTCAGAATGTCCATTGTCTTACCTTTCCTCTGATGGAACTCCAGCTCAAATGTCATTTCCTAATTTACGTGTCATTTCACCTCCTTTACACTTTTAGAATAAACTGTCTTTCTCTTTGGCCTTTTCCTTCACACTGTGTTCTATATCTTCCTTACTGGCATACCTGTCTTACGTTCTCTCCTTGACTACAAGCTCTCGGAAGGTAGAAAGGGACCTTATATTGATGAAATCAATCAATCACTGTCTGCCATTATCTTATATAAGTTGGTGTCCAATATATATATTTTAAAACTTGAGTGGTTAAACAAAGTACACTTGAAATCTGGTATACTACTTACTGATATAAAAAGGACCGGGTAAATGGTAGCATTTATTTTAGTGTTTTTTTGTTTGTTATTTTATTTTATTTAATACAGAATCTTACTCTGTAGCCCTGGGTAGAGTACAGTGGCATCATCATATCTCACTGCAATCTCAAACTCCTGGGCTCAAGCAATCCTCTTGCTTTAGCTTCCAGAGTAGCTGAGAATACAGGCAGGGACTGCCACACCTGGGTAGTTTTTCTATTTTTAATAAAGGCAGAGCCTCACTCCTATTCAGGCTGGTCTCAAACTCCTCATCTCAAGCAATACTCCTGCCTCATCCTCTGAGAGTGCTAGGATTACACAGGCATGAGCCATCATGCCTGGCCATTATTTTGGTATTTATGTAATGGGTGTCAGTAATAGAAATTTTACTAAATCTCATACCAAAGGGGGAGAAAAAGAGTTTCTCATAAGGATCACATATTGTTTCCAACCAGTTTTATGGTATAAGCTTTGAGAACAATAACATGGTAAGGTTCCATTATTTCTGGGAATCAGTATTGACGTGCTAAGCTCTCTATATCACAATGTTAGGTAAGTCTGAGCTTTTTGAGGGTAGAAATGGGACTACTAATCCTTATTTTCCCTGATAAATCTGCCCTTACAGTTAAACAATCTCTAAACATGTCAAGAAATGGGTAAAGATCCTTTAAGAAGGAGAGTTACTATTTTAGAGTTATATGAGATTACTACCTTTAAATTATGTCACAAAATGCTGATGCTGTACAGGTAGTCCCTGGGTTACAAATGAAATAGGTTCTGCAGGTTTGTTAAGCTGAATTCATATGTAAGTTGGAACAGGTACATTTACCTATTATCTGTAATAGCCCCAGTTCATAAGGACGAGTCCAGTGTCAGTGGACAGTAGTTGTAACTCAGGGAATGCCTGTTTGTAAAACAGGTGTGAGCTTTTAAAAATCACGGTGTAAACAGGAGAAGCAGTACTAAAAATAAATCAAGTATAAAAATATACCATTTCTGTTATTTTTTTCCAAAAGCAGCTTTTCCTTTTGTACAATAAAAGCCATTTTTCCCACTTATCCATCATATTTGCTGGTTGTACTTTGCCAATTAAAGTGACAACAGAATTGATACCAGTATTTTTCCTGAACTTATAGACAGTTCTGCAAGTTAAAAGACTTTTTCTTTTGTTCCTCTTACTTTCAGAAAAAGTATGTGTATGTGAGAGAGAAGGTGCAACATTTACAACATTACACAGGCATGGTAACACGGGCCTTATGGATTGCACAGATCACTAAACTTTATCTCTGGGTGTTTATTCTATTATCAAATCACAAAAATAAATTATACTCATTCTATAGAAATTTTATTACTTTAAAAAGTTCTAACCACAGGCTTTATTTGGCACAGATCATTCTAAATCAAGAATTACATTTCTTTTCATACTTTACAGCTTACAGAACTCCTACAATGATGTTTGAAGGGAAGAAAAAAGTCAGTCACTTAAAAAAATGGGGATAGGAGTGATTTAGAGTGTTGAGCATAAACACAAAGTAAGAACTCATTTTGCATGCAACCCCTGGTCCTCATGCTGCTAAATGACCAATGATGAATAACTCCGGATACCTTCTGCCAGGCTTAAAGGGTAATATGCCTCATTTTACTGCAACAAATGAGGCTCCTCCTCCTATCAGTCACGGTCCATTCCAATCAGCAGGGTGCCAATAAGCCAGAGGCTAATGAAAAGGGCCTCAGACAAAAAAGAAACAATGGAGTGTTCCCCAGCCCAACCCAGGAACTGAGAGTCCAATTTTTTAAACACCACAGTGCACATTTCAGTTAATCTTTATCATGCTAATGTTATTGAGTCTAAGGAACAAAGAAACTTATTTCATGAATTACTTTTAAACATCAACTTCCCTGAATTTTCTTTTCTTTTGTTAGAGACTACCGACCATTTAACTATCCAGATTAAAACACACACACACACACACCCCCTACACTTTTCCCTTGCTCTAAGGTAGAAATCAAAACATAAATTATCACAAAGAAGTCTGATATAATCAACAAAGTTAAACAGTCCTCTTGTTTGATCTCCTCTAAATTAAAGACCAAGTGTTTTGATATGGTATTAGGCATTGAAATAAACCAGATGTTTCTTCCTCTATATAACTCTCCATGGGCACAATCTTAAAGGGTTATTGTCTGGCAAATGTTCAGGGAAACACATTAGAAATGGCATGAATACCCAGGTTTTCCTTTCCTTCTATCTACCCTAGTTTATTATCTAAACTAATGCGTAATCCATAGAGCTTTGGGAACTTTGTGTAAATACTTTCATGTACAATTCTCTTTCTTGCTATCCTGAGATTAAGACCACAATTATCCAGGCTTAAACCTAAAATAAAGGAACCTTTGCAAATGCATTATCTGGCCTTACATGTTTAATCACATAGTATTCTGTGTGCACTTTAATACCTAAACTGAAGAACAAAGGTTGTACCCTCTGATGTTTTACACATGAAAGATCTTCTAAGATATGTATCAGACAATTGGGGAAATAGAATTAATTTCTAATGACAACAGCATGGTGTTTCTCCATCTAAAATGAGATGTTGTATTAAAAACTTCACATTCTAAAGAACTAAAAATTTCAAACTAGTCATAGCCACCATTTCCAAAGATCTGTAATGCCTAACATAAAATTCTGACATGCACATCAGACTCTCAAATGTAATCCTCATTAAGTTCCTTCTCCTTATCTTTTCTAATCCTCCCTATCCCCAGATAATGTAATGTTTTTGTTTTTTAATACATTTTGAGAGCACTAAGCATATACTGAAGTATAAATATGAGTCTATAATGGAAGTTAGAGAAAGAACGTGTTTAAGGAGGTGTCAGGTTGAGGGGGAGCAGCAGATGGATTGAAGGAAGGGATTTGAAATGTGTAGACTATGGCATGCAGTGATGGAGCAGATGGAATGCATCACCATCAGCTATGACAGAAATGATTTATGGAATGACCTGGCTGCTCCTGCCTAGTAACAACACAGGATGACAGGGTTGAGTTTCCATGACAACCAAAGCCCACCCACTAACTAGATTAAACATTTCTCCTCTGGCTTCCATTCACAGTAAATTTGGATTTTCTTTTCTGAATGCCATCCTGGTTTGGTTAGGACGCTGTTAATAATAAGGGAAGATATTCAAGGACTTGAACAGTAACCAAAGAAGAGCTTGAAGGACCACTGAAAACATCACAGATTCTTGCTTGCCTATATGCCAACATTCCTTTATAGATGTTTTCCTTGGATAAAATAAATAAATGACCTTTGAGGAAAAAAGCTCTCAAAATGCAGATACTTTTAAAGGCTGCTGGTATTGAAAAGTTCAAAGGCTATATATCCTCTCATATGTGAAATAATTTGTTACTGGACTCTTCCCAGAATCAGCTAGAGGAATATGGCAAGCCAATTCAATACCTGGGAGCCCCTCGGGTTTAACAGTATAGAATAAAAATTCCTTCCTAAATATGTAGTTTTCATTGGGTGGCAGTAAGTCCAAAAGAAGGTAAGACAGTTCTCTTGAATCTTATCAATGCACTGTAAGACACAGTCACTGGAGCACTGCTCTTTCTGCACATTTGGAGCAGTGGTTATGAGCAGAGTCTGACCCAGTCATAGCAGGGTTCTAATATATATGGGCTTTGCCCTTGCTAGCTTGTGATTCCCTAGGGCAAGCTACTTAATCTTTCTGAGCTCAAGTTACTTAACCTTTTAAACTTTAGTTCCTCATCTGTAATGTGGCGATAATAATGACAACCTTACAGGGTTTTCTTGCGGATTAAAGAAAACAGGGCAAGTGTATGCTTAGTATAAAGCCTACTACATGGTAAACATTTAAGTTATACCTGATAGTTTCTGTGGGTTTTGTTATTATCATCACTATTAGGGGATCTAAAACTGAATTCAACAAACATGTTACTAAGCTTCATTTTGTGTGGGGCTCTGCTATACAGCAGATAGATTTGACTCAGTTTCATTTCTCAAGAAGCTTATACTCAACTGTAGAGGTTTATTTACAGAAACAGTATATAAAGAGGCTTATCTCAAATGTTCAACAGTTGCTTGCTACCACTCACAGACTACTCATATGTACAGCAACCCATATGTTTGACAGAATTAACAGCATTTCACAGATATGAAAAGACAGGCAACTCTGTGAGAATTCTAACAGGCATATTGCTCGGAAGGAAAGAAGGAAGAAAAAAATAAAGAGAAATTTCAGAAAGTATAAAGCACAAGTGACTCTTTTAAATAATTAGATTCATCATGAATCTTTGTAGAGTACTAAATACATTTCCCTTCTAGTTTCAACATTCCAAAAGAAGAAATTTTATTGTTTTAAGAATCCTGTATTCAAACAGTCAGTGCTTTGTCACTAATGTCCTGATGTATTATAAACTACTTGCTTAAGAAAAAAAATTCTTTTTAATCAGTTCATCAGTTTTACTCATTTTAGCATGACTTCTTCCACATACTTTTTGGCTCCTTGTTAAAGAAAGGTTTTTTTTTCTTTTTGAGAACGTTGTCATTTCCTGCCTCCTGACTAAATCAGCTGTAGTTAATGTTTTGCCTTTGCTTTTTTCTTAAATTAAAAAAAAAAGTACATAAAATACTTTTCATAAAGGTACTTCATTCTCTGGATCAGAAGAGTAAATGAGTTGTCTTTCTCAATTCCACTTGACTTATTTTAATGGACCACTCACTAAATATGTATTTGAAATAAGTCAAATAAATAGGCTTAGTAATTAATCTCAGTAATTTGTGCTGTAACATTATTTCTTTGTCTTCTTTCTTTCTTTTCTTTTCTTTTTTTTTTTTTTGAGACAGAGCCTCAAGCTGTCCCCCTGGGTAGAGTGCCGTGGCATAGCTCACAGCAACCTCCATCTCCTGGGCTCAAG